CAGCGGAAGCGGGCACATTGTCCTCCACTCTGGCCCCATTCGATCCTCCTGTTGGAAGGACCTGGCCAGGAGCCACTGCTTTACAGGGATGTGACCTCCCAGAGTCACAGCCATGGCCTCCCAGAAGGATAGACTTGAACTGGGAAGAGTTAAGTGGCAGCAAACTCTTTCCTCTGGGGCCCAGGGCTCCCCCACTTGGGAGCCGAGGCCCCTGTCCTTGCCTTCACAGCTAAGGATGGCTGAGCTTGCGGGGAGGGGTGATTTCTGGAAATGTTGAAACTAACATAGGACACTGATTAACACAGCACTTCTGACAGTAATATTTGAAATGGAAATGCTAGCACCGGGGCTCAGTGCCATCATTGAGAAGTGGAGAATAGCGATTCCTTTCTCAGATGTGTGCGCCAGCTCCGGAGGATTAATTATCCGCACACGCAGAAGCAGCGGGGCCGGCAGGACAGGCTGGCAGGGTTTCCGGGACGTGTGTCATCACCGCTTCCAGCCTGGCTCATCACAGTTGATTAGAATTTTAAGGGATTTGAGAGGCTGGAAGCATTGGTGCACAGAAGTCTGGAATAGGCAAGCGGATGTGCGAGGCGCTGTTTTTTTTTTTACCTTCCCGGATTAATACAGCTGCTAATTTTTGTTGCATTGCTTCAGCGATAATACTGGCTTAAGTTTTTTGGGATGAGCGTATGAATGCAAACCATAAGCACTTGAGCTCGATGGCTTAGCACAAAGCAAACACTGTCACACAGAATGAGTGGCATGTGGCCAGTACCCAGAACTCCACCCCTTCCCCCCAGCGCTACCCAAGGCTTGTCTCGAGCATCTGTTTCTCTCCTGGGCTCTCACTCTCTGTGTCCGTTTCTCTGTCCTATAGGCTGCCTCGCCTGGTCCGGGTGGTTCTGTAGGTGACGCAGCCCACTCATCTGCCCTATCAGAAGGATCTGAGGAACGGTGTGCTGTAAAGGGTCCATTTTCTGGCACTCTACAGTGACTGATATCTGTCCCCTCTGGTGACCGTGGGTCCGATTCACGGGGCTCTTTTTTGGTCAGGTGTCCTGGAGTTCTGGTGGAGAGATTCCTCAGGTCTCTGTTGACCTTGAGGTTCTGGCAAGGGTGTGATGAAGTTTTCATACTCCTGACCTCTGTCGCACTAGAGTCCAGAGTGGTTCTCAGCCTTCCTAATGCTGCGACCCTTTAATGCAGTTCCTCATGTTGTGGTGACCCACCCCCACCCCCCCACGCACCATAAAATTATTTCGTTGCTACTTCATAACTGTAATTTTGTTACTGTTATGAATGTAATGTAAATATCTGATGTGCAGGAGATCTGATATATGACCCCCTGTGGGGGGCTCTTGACCCACAGGTTGAGAACCACTGCCTGAGACTCTGGTGGGTCATCCCTCCATATATCAGCAGTAGACAGTCATGGCCATTGAGCCAGTTCCTCCTGAGTCCTGGACCCTTGGCGCCCACACCCCGGCAGGTCCTCTTTCTGGCCCCTTCTCTTGGTGGCTTCTACATTGGGGGATATGTTTACTTGGGATCTTGTTCAGTGGCCCTTGCCTGGCATTGCTGTAGGAGTGAGCTTTAGGGGAGACCTGGCTAGGGGACTGGAGGCCCGAACTTAGGGGACGCTGTTTCTAGCGACAGCCATCTGATGATTGGGGAATGATGTGCCTGAGGGGTTCAGCAAGCAAAGGAGGTCCTTCTGGCAGGCAGACCACCCCGAAAGGAAAGGGGTGCTGCACAGAGGCTGCTGTCGAGGGGCCGACCTTCTGAGAGATGCTGGGCAATCGTGGCCTGGCACGTAGGAGGAAAGGACAGTGATGGTGGCAGCAGTCCGGGCATAGTGACCCTGGGACCTGAACTGGAGGTGGGAGGACACTGTGGGGTCAGTTCATAGTCCTGGTGAGTGTCCTGGTCCCTGTGGCCTGCCTGTAGATAGGATCAGCACAAGGCCGAATCCCATGTTCCTGCCGAGCTAAATATAGTACCAGAACAGGATGCTGGCCCTTTCTGAGTGACCTGAGGGGACAGCACAAATCCTCTTTGACCCCCTGCCTGTCATGGTTGAGAGTATCTTGGCTCCAGATCAGAAAGATAGGAAAGAGTTGGAATCCACAAATAAGCCTGATGTTCCGTGGGGATGGTCAAGGAAGGACTGAAGGTCTGCTGCTACGTTCATAGACTTGAAGCCATGCCTGGGTTTCATAGGCTCCCTTGCCAAGGTGCCTGAGATCTGGAGTATGGCCAGATTTCTGCTAGATTGGCCTACACACACACACACACACACACACACACACACACACACACACACACACACACACACACACACACACACTGAGCATAGGGCCCTAGAGAGAGGCCTTTCCTCTGTGTTGGGCGATTTGTGTGCAGCTGAAATGGCCACCTCCATGGAGGGATGTGGTGGCCACTGCAAGGCCAGGGATGGGGCCGTGGGGTGGACCGATGTCCTGGATCTACTTGGATGGCACCGAGAAAGAAACTGCCTGAAAGAGGCGAGAGGGTGAGGCTGAGAGGCCCAGCAGGGCCCTGAGGGTTGTCGGATGAGAGCCGGGCGGTGGAC